AAAACATTCCCACAGAACCAACAAATGCAGCAATTTGGGGGATCTGCTTAAAGAGGTGCACAAATAAAGGCAGCACCTCATTTATGTTATTTGACAAAATAATAATAACAATAACAACAACAACAATCAGTGCCTACCGTAAATTCAGCACCAAGGAGAGAGGAGAGATACTCTCATCAGGAAACAAGAATTCTGCCTTGAAGGGCTCTCAGTCAGTCAGGATTCTGAAGCTTAAAAAAGGCTTTTGATCTCTCTCTCTCTCTCTCTCTCTCTCTCTCTCTCTCTCTCTCTGTCACACACACACACACACACACACACACACACACACACACACACACACACAAATCAGGTTGTGCACAGGTCTCCCCAGTCCTGAACATTTGAACAGAAACTCTAAAGCTAGCAGTCTGTCAACATGTCCACTACAAACCTTTCTTTTCAGTTTATGATTCAACAGTGAACATTCAGGGGTAACACCTGGGGCGAACGGTGTCACTCTGAAACACACTCGTTTTATTTAATTAAAAGAATGTTCTGCATTTTCCAAGTCTAAACAAATGATCTTAATAAATGATGACCTTAAAACACACATTTTAGAAGTGAGCTTTCTTAGAAACTACAAAGGGAACGCATAAGTCCCGTCTTCCTAACTTGTCCTCATGTAGCAAACTGGTGTCACCCTAGACTTCGTGAAATCGTCCCTTCCACATCCATTCACCAATCCCAGCACCTTGGCATCGTCAGCTGCTCTTGAGTCAACTTCCTTCATCTCAACAACCACACGGCCAAACACTGTCAGATGTGACCCAGACTATTACTATGAGACGCCTACTATCTGCTCTGCAAACCAGCACACGAACTCTTCCTGCAGAGACCTACAGTGATCTTTCCAACACACGAACATTGCCACGCCTTTCCCCTACTTACTTCCCTCAGCGGCCTCCCACACCTAAGACGCAAACTTGCAGCATGGTCCACAAGAGCTGGCCCTTTGTCGTCTCACTCTCCACGTTTCCCCTGGATTGACCTTCCAGTTTCTCATCCTTATCCTTGCTACTTCGTGTCTCAGAAACTTTGCCCGTGTGGCCCCTGTCAGGATTGCTCTGTCCCCACCCCCCAATTCAACATCTACTCTTGCTCAAATCTTTAGATTTCAGCTCAGAAGTCAGTTATTAAATAACTGATGGGAGGACGTGCAGAGATGACCGGCCACACTAGTGGAAGCCCATGAACTGCGGACTGGTGGCCGTGGAGCCCCCATGGGACTGGACTAGGCCCTCTGGATACGGAAGATGGTTGTTTGGCTCGAAGTGCTTGGGGGGCACTCAGGCAGGGGGATCGGGATCTGTCCCTGGTCTATGGGTAGGCTTCTGGGAATCTGGTGCCTATGGTGTAGCGCCTTGCACAGCCTTGGTGCAGTGGGAAGGAGCTTGCACCTGCCTAGGTTCAGTGTGCCGGGCTCTGCTGACTCCCCATGGGAGACCTCGATTTGGGGATGTGGGGATGCAGGGTGGCTTGGGAGAGAGGGCTGGAGGGTGGGAAGAGGGAGGAGGGGGGAATCTGTGGATGGTATGTGGAGTGAGTAGAAAATTTCTTAATAAAGAAAAATGAAAAAAAATAAAGACTTGCATGCTCAGACCTCTCTGTTTTCTTACCTCCTAAGGTTTTTCTTAACACAAGGGTATGCACATGCTTCTTTCGGAGCATAATTGTATTTGTATATTTGTGAAGGCTTGACTAACATGTGCTTTTCTCACTAGGCTGCAAGACCCATAATGTCAAAGCAAGAAGTGTTTCCTTAATCGTCAGCACCATATCTAGTATACAGCAGGCATTCACAAATGTTTGAATAGAACCACAAAAATAATCATATAATAGAGTTGTGGATACAGCTCAGTTGACAAAATGTATGCCTGCCATGCACAAAAGAGTCCCTGGCACAACACAAACCCAGCATGGTGATACATGACTGTAATCCCAGCACTTAGGAGGGAGAGGCAGAAAGATCAAAAAGCTCAAGGTCATCTTCAGCTACGTACAGAGTTCAAGGCAGGCCCGAGCTACAAGAGATCCTGCCTCCAAAAAAATAAAATATAAATCAGACTGAAATGATAAGCTCACTTTAAATATCAGTCACCCCAGAGAAACAGGAAGAGGCTCAGACCTCTAAGAGGGAATTTTTGTCTTCACCTCGCTTGTTCCACAAAATTAAAGCAAAGAAATCTTCAAAGGACTCTTTAGTTCCAGTAAATCCAGCAGTACAAGACAGAAGCGGCCCTGACTGGACAGAGCCACAAGCTGGTGGTAGCAGAGGCAGAACTTTCATTTGGTAAGGTAGGTCGTTCTGATCTACCTCAGGCCTTCTGCAGGGATCAAAAGAGGCCACGTACAGACCCACATCCAAGAGAAGCAGGTTCTCACGATGGATGGAAGTACCTGCCGGTCACACTGTACCACAAGGCAGAGGGGAAACCCAGGAGTCAAGGCCACATCTAAGAAGCAGGATCTCGAGGTGAATGGAAGTACCTGCTGTCACACTGTAAAAGTACCACAAGGCAGAGGGGAAACCCAGGAGTCAGCATCTGAAACTTCCCTAACTGTTCCCCCAACACTGGTTCTCAAGAACCCCCAGGTTGGCTTTTACTTTAGGGAAGTAACAGTCCTTGATTTACACTCTTATGACATCACATCTTAAATTGCTTTAGGTTACTATTTACTGTACATCACTGATGTCTCCTGACACATGGCATTCTTTTTAATACTGTGCTGGTAAATCTTGGAAAGTCTTAGTTTATCTTTGGCAAAAGGTAGAAATGACAAGCTATACTAGGTCCTCTGACAAACTTACCAAATACAGTGAAGAAAAAAAATTAAGCTACGCTCCCTTCCTAGACAGATGGGCACTATAGTTTATTACATATCAGCACTAATAAGCTATCTAGAAAGGTGTTAGGATATGTCTCCACTTCTTTTTCCAGCTTCTTGAGACTACAGTCTCCTGTAGCCCCCGCTGGCCTTTAACGTGATATACAGCCAAGAGTGTCAAGATATATCAGCCTCCCAAATGCTGGGATTATTGGCAGGCTTCACCTTGCTGGGTCCAATCATGGCTCTAAAAGGATCAGAACTACAGGACATTTTGAACGCAAGTAACTTTGGCGGGTTTTCGATTTCCTTCTCAGAAAAGTGGGGGTTAGGATGTCCAGCATTATATACAGTGCTTTTATATAAAAGGGTATTTGATGACTTGAGAAAAAAAATTTCAATATTCATCTCAACCGAACCACTTTGAGAGCAAAAATGATTTAAAAAGAAAAAAAAAAAATCAGCCATCACTCCAAACACACCGAAAAGGGAAATGTAATTGTTTTAACAATTTAGGTGACCTAGGTGGGACTTCAGTAAGGTCAGTCTCAAATACTGCAGTTTACAAATGAAGCTGTGACATAAGCCGACAACTGATAAGAGGACCTCCTCCTAGGAGTCTTCTTGGTCGGTCGTCACCAGCTTTTACACTCAACTTCCTGACGCTAACTTTCCAAAAGTTAATAAAGTACATCATGGAGCTGCAACGCCCGATTTTTACAGAAGGCACTTGACTACAGACTCCTCCCACGGCTGCTCAGCTTCTGTGTCCCGGAATCCTTAAGTGTCCTCCACTCCCTTCTGGCTCTGACCTGGACTCGTGGCAGTGGGCATCGGGGGGCTTGGAGTGGATGGAGGGGGGTGGAGGATGAGGAACTCGAGGGGGGCTCTAACGGCTCCTTTTGCTGGGGGGGTGGGGGTGGGTTCAGGCCGGGGGAGGTGGGAGCCGCGGTGCAGTTCGCGCCGCCAACTGCTGGGTGAGTGTAGCGCAGTGGCCGGATCCCGGTAACTAAAGTTCCGAGCAGCTTGACTAAACCCCTCAAAGCCAGGCACTGTCAAGGCTAACACCAGCGCCGCCGAGGGCGGCAGACGGATGTGTCCCAGCGGAGCGCGCGCCTCCCGGCATCAAGGCTGATGGAGCAGGCAGCGAGGGGGGCGGCCAGGAGCCGGGACAAGTTAGGTCCTCGGCAGGAGCAGCCCAGCCAGGGCCCCGGGGTCGGGGGAGAGAGGTGCCCGCTCCAGATCCGCGGGACAACGCGGGAGCCCCGCCGCGAGGGGACCGGGGTGTTCCCCGGCGCCCGGGTGCGGGGAACGCCGATCCGGGTGGGAGATCCGGCTCTTTCTCTCCCGTGTCCGGGAATGGGAAGGGACCAGCGGGTGCGGGGCGAGGCCTCAGCCCCACGTTCGCACCCGGCACCCGGCTCCCGGCCACGGGAGTTGCGGGGAGGCGGTGCCGTGGGCTGGAGCCCGACGCGGACAGGCTGGGGGGGGGGGCGCGCCCCCGTGGCGAGCACCCCCGGGCTGGGCGGGGACGTCCGGGGAGGCTGGACCCCGGGGCCTGCTCCACCGGACCACGGCAGCGGCGGCATCTCGCCTCCTTCAGGCCTTGCGCGCGCCACAGGCCGCAGCGGGGACCAACCCCGCGTCCTCCCGCCGCCACCCGCGGGGCTCGCAGCTCCCGGGGTCGGACACCGAGGCTGGAGCCTCGGTTCCCTGGGGGAGCCGACTCTGTCCCGCGATTCCCATCCCGGCAGTCGCCGGCGCTGGAGCGAGCGTCCGCCTTGGCAGCCGCTGCTGCTGCCGCCGCTGCTGCCGCCGCCGCAGCGCGGGGGACGGCGCTGAACCCGGGGCGGGGACGCGCGGGAGGAAGGGGCGGCCAGGGGGCGGGCCGGCGGCGGCGGCGGCGGCGGCCAAGCCGGGGCTGGGGTGGGGGGGGGGGGGGGAGACCCGCGGTGTGGGGCTAGGCGCCCCCGATCGGCCGGCGCCGGGCCAGCACCACCTGCGGAGCCGCGGCGCCCACGCGGCCGCGACCCCCGCCGCCCCTCGCTCCCGCCACACACACACACACGCGCGCGCGCAAACAAAACAAGTTGCAGGTCGCCGCTCGCCGGAGGGGGGCCGGGCGGGTCACTCACCCTCATCCTGCTCAGCGGGCTCGGGTCGTCGGGCCGCGAGGACAGGGAAGACCAGAGCACCAGGAGCCCCAGGAAGCTTCCCACCACCAGCAAACTGCGTAAGATGAACCCGATCTTCAGCCTCATCTTCCTCCGGCGGCGAGAGAGACACACAGCCCGGCGCAGCCGCCGCCACCACCGCTCTCCCCTCCCTTCTTCCCCCTCCCCCGGCCCTCCTCCTCCTCCTCCTCCTCCTCTTTCCCCCACCCGGATCGCTACGCCCGCCGCCCTCCCCACCGCCTGCCCTCTCCAGCTCCAGATCCGGAACTCCCCTCGGCTTTACCTTCCCCTGGCTCTCCCCTCCGCCCCCTCCCCGCGCCTGCCTCTGCGCTCCGCTGCCGCACCCCCCTCCCCTCTGGCGGCCTCCGCAGAGCTCCGACCGGCCGGAGTGGCTACTAGCTCTCCAGGCTTCCTTTCTACCTGCCTGCTCTAGCTCCGCAGTGCTCCCCCCCGCCCTCTCTCCACCCGCCGCCGCGAGAACCCCCTGCGAGTCCCTAGTAACCTTGGAACTAACTTAACACTTTCCCCCGGGGTCTCATCTTAGCCTTTGCCCTACGGCTCAGCCTCTTAAAGCTTCCAGATCCCCAAACTTTTATAGCAATTGTGGACTAAAACTCTGTCCTTGACCAAGCCCCCGCACTCCCAGGATGCTGCCACCCGTCGCCCCTCAGGTGGACCTGCAGCCTTCCCTAGGCTGCCCTTCCTTTCCCGATGCCTACTGCCAGATCTCCCCTGCCTGAGGCTTGCAGGAAGCAAACCAGGAAGTCGGCTACCGCGGCTGCAGCAGTAGCTCCACGTGGCTGATTTATAGCCGTATTTTTTTTTTTTATTGATCTTGTTTTTTTTCACAGGGCTCCTTAAGGAGGTGGATTTGTAACCGAAAGGCCCAGGTGAGATGTGCAAATACCAAAGAACTAAAGAGCGTTCCCTTGGAAAGACGGTGTTACCTTTTCTCTTGAGCTCATTAGAAAGCCAAGTCGACTAGCTAATACACAATACCATCCTTGTTGATGAACTTGTAAGTTTCTACCCCGGGGAAAGCGGATTTCGGGTTTTTAAAACATTATACACAACGCACCATTGCTTCTCTCACAGCTTGATTGTTTCCAGGAAGGGATATTGGCAAATGTTTAGCTATACGCCTCTCCCTTGTACATTCTGCCAAAGATGTCAATCACTTTATGTCACAGTCTGCAGTGTGTACCATACTCCTAAACTATCCAATGTGTTGAACAAATGCTTTTTGATGGCAGGTTTTAGGACGGTGTAAATTGACCTTTTTAATCCTACTATTGCCTTGTCTGAGTCTATTTTGCTTTAAAAAACAAGTGAAACCTGGTTATGTAGTTCACCTGGGTGATCAGCATTATCTTATGTACTTTCATTGAGCCAGAGATAGTTTTCCATTATTAGGAAAACGGGAAGCTGACCCTTTCGGATTGTGAGCATAGATGGGCGGATACGTGGTGGAGAAGTGGCCCTCATCACTGAAGTGAAGGGAGCCGCCCCTCGGCTGTCAGTATTCTGAGGAGACCCTGCCACCACAACTTGAAATATGTTTGAAAGGCCAAAAAGATAGAAACTGATGAACAGGTCTATGGTTGTAAAAGCCCACGTACCTCTGAGTTCTGAACATTGTTTAAGAGAAACTGAAAGTATACCTTAAAATACATGCTTCTCACCACATTTGCTGGCTGGCAGGCAGCCTTTGTAGAGAACTCTTTAGAAAATGAGAAGCTACATTAAATGATTGGGTCAAGAAAAGTCACACTTAGCCTCTCTGAGCTTAGAGCCCTTATCTGCCAAAATCATGATTATAATACTTCACAATATTGTCAGAAGGAATAATGGAGGCCAAATGCACATGAAAATATAAAGCACAGATAATGTGATGGGGTAAGTCTTAGTGATTGTGGGTATAATTCTTGTGAATGCCACAGCCATTACTATATATAGGGATTGTTGCTCTGAGCTATTTCTGACATGTCGATCCCTGAGTGATGTCCCTGAAGAAGAGAATACCCCCCTCCACTGTGCTAATGGCGAGAGGTACAGAGTATGAACAAGGCAGTGGTCTCTGACAGGTTATGAAGTCACAAGTGAATGGTAGCATGGTGCCTTCACCTCCGAGGCCAGCCGGGGCCTCAGAAGTAAAATCACAAGGGGATAGCATTTCTGAGCAGGCAGTATATTCGGAAGGATTCATGTCATTTAAGTTTTGTGTTGCCGGAGACTGGTGTTCGCTGTTCTTAGAATTCGGAGCAGGTTTTCTCATCTTGCCAACATGCGCACGGTCCTTGCCAAACAGTATAATCACCTCATGTTTATTATATAAATGCTTTCGGGATTCCGCAGGTCAGAACCTAAAGGTTTGGTGGTTTTTAAAAGTCGTCCCCACGTGAACTCTGCTAAAAGAGGAAACCCTCACAAAGAACTAAGCCCACCTTTGGGCTGCACTCCCCTGGGGCTTTCAGCATGCCTCCTCATCCTGTACCCAAGCTGGAGGTCTGTTTCTAAATGCCACTGGTTGCCCTCAGGCCTTTGTCCAGGGATTTCTTTTCACCTGCACTGTCTTTTGACACCTCAGCCTTTAGCTTCAAGGTCAGTTACAAAAGCTTTTTTTCTAAACTCTTACCATGGTCTCTACACCAAGATATTGGCCAGGTACCCTGCCTTCCACTCCATTTCTCCCTAATAATTACTACTGTGTTTTGATTGCTTAATTTTCACTTGCAAGTAAAACGTAACATGATGCCGGAGAGTCGTCTATGGAGAGTTTATTGTGTTCTTGTGTCTGATGTGTAAGAAGGGTTTTTATATTTTTTTTTGGAGGAACACTGAGTAAATAACTGGTTTAAAGATACAAAGGGAAAACAGAGCTTAGAAGAGGGCTTAGGAGCACCTCAGCTTTGATTGTTCTTTACCTAGAAGCTGCTTTTCCGAGAACAAAATCTTGGAGGTTTTATTTCATTAGGTCAGTGATTGTCTTACAGTAGTTGGTATTTTGGTAAGCTGTTGTCTATTGATAGTCTACTGATAGTACCTAGATACTCCATTCATAGTCTACTGCAGCTACTCGAACTAAGAAAGTCATAGTTTCAACTTAAATTCGGATCCCCCCCAACATAGATTACTAGTTCTGTCGTAAAATTAATAATACTTGTGTTGTGCTCATTTGAAATGAAAACCTTGTCAAGGGCTGCCATTCGATGAGATTAGTGACCTCCTGTAGTGTTTTGAAGGCTAAAATGCTGATTTAAAGCCCCCTTTGATTTCATACTGTAGAATACTACCTCTTCATAGCTAGTTGCTCTCTGGAACACCTATAATTCAGAGGCTCTTCTGATTTAGCCATTTATTTAAAAGGTCATTGAAACACATTTCGTCTCTCTTCACTGGAACCCCACCACTAGCTCTCTGTTCCTCCTAGAATTAATCCTGAACACCTTGGTTTGCCACAGAAGACTTCTGGGAGCAGGCATAGCTTTGCACCTACTTGGTTACAAGCCTTTTCCAGTTGAAGTTACAGCCATGTCCATTTCTATTTCCAAAATAGCTCAAGTTCCTTCTCACTTCTAGACTTGTGCATATCTCCTTTTTCCAGAGCACTCTTGGTGGTTTTTACACCAACTGGCCCCATAAACTCTATAATCATTCAAATTTCTGTTCATACACCGTATTTTTTTTTTTTCAGAACTTTTACTTGCATAGGCCATCCACTTCCTTGCTCGGTTGGGAATTTCTGCTTTGTGTAAGAGTGACTTGGAAGGTCCCTTTCTGAACAGAGCTCAGCTTTTGTATTTGCTCAACTGTCACCTTAATTAGACCAAGTTTTGAAAGGCAAGGACTGTGTTGTCGTTTAGCATTGCCTTCCTAGGATGTTGACAATGCCTTGCACAGAGGACATGCTCAGTACATGAGAGTGGATGGGAGAGAGTGTGTCTCATGCATTCACTGGTAAAACTGAAAGATTTGCACACATCCTGTGATGTGATAAACTAATATCCTAAAAGACAATTATATCTGAATATTTGCAAAATATTTTGTTAGATCAAGTTTTCTCTTATTTAAAGAGTTGGGAAAGAAGAGAACAATGTTCTATACCTTATCCAGCCAACGTGCGTACTATCATTCCTAAATAAACCCGTAGTTTATTCAAACTAACAATCTGTTTGCTAAAATGAATATACGTTGCCCAGAACCTGGGGCCTGCAAAATGAAAAAAGGAGCCTGGTTTTTACTGATACTGATAATCATAACGGTTTTTTTTTTTTATGAAATGGGTGGAATGGAAAGAAACTTACAGTAAAAGGGCGGAGAACCCACCCTACCATTTGGAGCTAGAGGTTTGACTAGACTTAAATTTCTAATATCCTTTTACAGATTGGCTGAAGACTCAGGTTCTCGGCAGAATGGTTAAGTGATCAGAAAGTCTTCACAACTGAACTTTGTCAAGGTATTACTGTAAATCCTGTTACAGTGTGTGCATATAAACGCCTGCGTCGGCGAGCAGACAAGTAGCTTCAAACAGCTGTCAGTGTATTATCACATCCTCCAGAGATCTTGCTTATTCGGCTGTGCCCCGAACCTCACTGTCTTTAATGGGCAGATCTGATACCTATAAGACAAACCAGTTTCTGTCTTGTTAATACCGGTAATCTCTTAGACACAGGGCACAACCGTTCTACAATGAGTAGAGTGGAAAGAAACACTGTCAGTAAAAGGGCCAGAGAATCCACACTCACAGTTTGTAAAATGAGAGATATGGCTAGGCCATATTGGGCAGAGCCTTGATATTCAGGGTCTCTGGAGGGATGGGAAGGCTGTTGAGATTGGGAGGAGTGGGAGGGTCAATTCTGGCTCCTCTACAAGAGCTGATGGGAACAACAGAGAAGTATTTCACACTTAGCCATGTTTGTGATTAGTTTTAACAAGAGTGGGGTATTCTTAGTAATGAGCCATTCCTATAAGCCTTTTTAGACATTTCAGAGGAGATAAACAGAGCTGAATACAAATAAAGAAATCTGAAGCCAGACTGCAGAGAGATTCTGCAGGAAGATTATCCCAAATCCAGGAATTAGAGCCTGGACAGGAACTCATTATCTGTCGATCCAACCCTTCTGCTTCGTATGCTCCGCTGCATCTCACTGGGGTACAGAAATCTCCTCTTTTCTCCAGCTATTTTCTAACAACTGAACAGTGAACAAGTGTATTTTCCCTCTTATTTGAACACACGGCTCTATATTAAATGACTGTTTGGAGAGCCACACCAGGGACTTGTGCAGCAAAAGTACTGCTCTTCCAGGGAGTTCACAGTACTGTCGTTCAGATAAAGGTGCCTTTTGGAATAGTGCAAAGAATTTCAAAATTTGAATTTTAATTACATTTCTTTTGTGGAGAGCAGTCTTTGAGGATTTGGCCTTTTGGGATGGTGTCTGTTTCGCACACCATAGAAAACAATTTTTGACAAACAGAGTCCTTTTCCGTGATCTTTTATTGTATATTAATAGCTATTTCTATTTACTCAAAGTGCTTTTTTGTGCGTGTATCATGTGTTGGCCATTGTTCAAGACACAGGGGATATAGCAATAAACTAAAAGAGCAATAATCCCAGTCCTCGTGGAGTCAGATAATAAATTGCGTGTATAAATCATTATATATTGTTACCAAATAAACTGCTGCCTCACTCGTGTGCCAAGAGTCTATGAAGATTGACTCACAGACTTAGAGAGTACCTTAGAAGGTGTCTATGATGGAGTGAAACAGCCAGGGAGTGTAATTTGGAGTGCTGGATGAGCATAAAGAGAGGTTTGTATTTTAAACAGATGGAGTAGGTCTCCTTGAGAAGATGACATTTG